AAGGGATTTGCCACCAAGTACTAAGTCATGTTTTGTGAAGGGGATCAAATACTTATTTCCCTCATGAACATGCCAATCAGTCATCATTTGTTAGACATGCATTTCTGCTGAATTTTTTGTTGCTATTCTGTCTCTCAGTGTTACAATACACCGAACATTCGATTTTTAGACCGATCATTTCTTTGTGAGGAGCGAACATTCAAAATCAGCAGGGAATCAAATACTTATTTCCTTCACTGTATATACATGAGGATTTATCCAAAGAGGTGAACAGGTTGTCGGCTTCCCTGCAGATCGTTGCTCCCAGAGCCACTGCTCATTAGCTGGTTTATAACATTACTAGCATAGAGCTCTGGTGAGTTTCTTTCATTTGGCTGGCGGTGGATTTATCAGTGTGATGGGGTTTTAACAAGAAGCATGAATATTTACAAAGATTGCACAATTGAATATGTTCTAATTTGCACATTTATTTATGGACATTTAAAAATATTGAAAAATAGATTGATAATATTGGATGGACACTTATGTAAGCACATAGAATATTGATTATAGTCACGTATGTGATAGTATTGAAGATCTTTGTTTTCACGGGTTATAACATATTATCAGGGGCGGACTGACCATTTGGAAACTTGGACACTGCCCGAGGGCCCGGGGTCAGTAGGGGGCCCCATGAGATGCCCTTAGTACCTTTTTCATAGGCTTTTTTGAGTTTGGGCAAGGACACAGGAACCCCATTATCCCCTATTGCCCGGGGCCCCATGAGTTGTCAGTCCGCCCCTGCATATTATATTATGGCATATGATTTATTTTTGGCACAGTTAGTTTGGAGTAAGGAATTACAGTCTGCTTTTTTATGTGATAATATTTACATCCTGAGGAGCGCCTGTCTATACGTATTTTTATATTGGCAGGGGCGGACTGACCATTCGAGCACTTGGACACTGCCCGAGGGCCCAGGGTCAGTAGGGGGCCCCATGAGATGCCCCTGGTACCTTTCATAGGCTTTTTTTGGGTGTGGGTGAGGACACAGGGGCCCCATGATCCCCTGTTGCCCGGGGGCCCCATGAGTTGTCAGTCCGCCCCTGTTACTTGGTGATGTAAGGCTTGGATGCAGCTGCTTGGCCATGGAAACCCATTCCATGAAGTGCTCTACACACTGTTGTTGGGCTCATCTGAAGGCTACACCAAGTTTGGAGGTCTTTAGCTATTGACTCTGCAGACAGTTGGTGACTTCTGCGCACTGTGCGCTTCAGCATGCACTGACCCCGCCCTGTCATGTGATGTGGCCTACCACTTGGTGGCTGAGTTGCTGTTGTTCCCAGTTGCTTCCACTTTGTTATAATCCCACTAACAGTTGAGCGTGGAATATTTAGTAGGCAGGAAATGTCGCGGATGGACTTATTGCACGGATGGCAACCTATCACGGGACCACGCTTGGAGTCACTGAGCTCCTGAGAGCGACCCATTCTTTCACCAATGTTTGTAGAAGCAGTCTGCATGCCTAGGGGCTTGATTGTATACACCTGTGTCCATGGAGGGGATTGGAACACCTGAATCACATGATTTAGAGGGCGGGGGGGACAATACTTTTGGCAATATAGTGTATTTTCTGCTTTACAGTTGCAGTGTTTGCTGTCATGTAGTGAAGGAAATGTATACGAGCGCACCTACAAATGCAATGTAGCAGCTGTGCACCAGGTAACCATAAACCTTATAAAACAATAATATAAATCAGAAGATGCAGCGCTGAACAAGAAATACTATAAGTATATAAATAAATAAATATAAAATAAGCAGTTCATATGATGATATCAAGGTGACTTCAAGTGCTCTCATCTGTTCCTATCCTCCTGGTAACAAGGTGCTGTGCGATATAGTGCAGAAGGAATGCACACTCACCAGGACGCACAGTTTAATGAGCGTTTGTAAATATATATTTCCCTTGAGGTCATCAGCTGGTCAAAGTAGGGTCTGGAATCCAATGGCCTCCCTCCAGTGCTCCTGGATGTTATTGCTAGGACATCAGGATGATCCCTCGGATGTTGGCCTGTGGACTGCTCCTTAAGTGCTTAAAACGCTCCTTTCCCAGCAGTGAGATGAATGGCTGTGAATTGATACTCCCCGAGGGAGTCAAAACAGAGACATCTCCATAGTGTAGTAGATACGTATTTTATTGAGATAAAACGAGGATAAAGATCAATATTGTGCAAGAGAAATCATGGACTAACCGTCCAGTGTTAAAGATGGCCTCCGGAGCTCCACGATGCTCCGGCGGCGTGACGTCACGGCGTTCCTGGCTCCTCCTACGCGTTTCGTGCACACGCACGTCGTCTGGGGGGATTTGCCAATAACGCCGAGCCGTGTGACGCCAATTTATATGCTAGGCGCATGCGCATTAGGAAGGCGCCATGTTTTGGGAGTCATGCTGTCATGCTTGCTGTCATGTAGGGCCACCATGATCTATGTGGCCGTGCAGGCCGCGTTTTGCACTCGCACAAGAGCCCATTCATTTGAATGGACTCCCGTGCCCGTGATACGCAGGGAAGAAGTCCCTGCTCTTCTTTGGAAAACGCAGCCCACACAGGAACCTCGGTTCCCAGTACAGTTGCGTTTTCCGGTGCAGGTGCACAGAACTAATGGCACCCGCCTGCGGGTCCGCAATTCTCTGTACGGTTGGTGCGGCTGCACAGATTTTCGTGCAGATCTGCAGCGGCACCACCCGCACATATGTGAACCGGGGGTAAAGTAGAACTTACTCATCGGGTGTGACATGGCATGTGATTTGTATGCCCTGCAACTTTCAAATCGCATGCCAAGTCGCACCCTATTGTCCGCTATTTGAACGGTCATATCGGTGCGGTTCTGACTCGGTCGGAGCCGCACCAATCTCTATAGTAGTACCTGCACTACTTTTGTTGCCATTTGCATAGATATCTGTGTTAGATGTCTTGCAAATCGCAACTGAAATCGGCAGGTCACCCGATTTTGAAATTGTGCGACTTCACTGTAAATCACACGATTCCAAAATCGGCTTCGATGTGACCGGAGGGGAGGGGGGGGGGGGGGTTAAGGCACAACTCTTTTTTTGATAGAGTAAGGGAGTGTTATTACCCTTTGTAGGTTTATTTTACTATCTGTGCCCCATAGGGGAGGCTTCCTTTCACTTCCTGTCCCAGAGCCACAATCATCAGGGTCACTGGAACTAGTATCCCCACTGGAAGATTTACCCGCTTTTCCTGTTCTAGTGACACCCCAAAATGTAGGATTTTCTTTCATTTTCATTCTCTGTGATAACAGTCACCATTACAATAGAGAGGGTGAATCTCACACCCTCCTGGTGTAGAGTAGGCTGCTAGGTAAATGGAGTTGGCTCATCTGTAAGAGAAGAAGGGGTCGATTATTGACCCCCCGGTTCACATCTATGCGGCTGTGCGGGCCGTGTTTTGCACGGGCATGAGAGCCCATTCCTTTGAATGGATTCCCGTGCCTGTGATACGCAGTGAAGAAGTCCCGGCACTTCTTTGGAAAACGCAGCCAAGGTTCCCAGTACGGTTGCGTTTCCCAGTGCGGGCGGCGTGCCATGAGAACTAATGGCACCCGCCTGAGGGTCTGCATTTCTCTGTGCAGGTGGTGCGGCTGCATGGATTTTCGTGTGGATCCGCCATGGCACCACCCGCACAGATGTGAACCGGGGGTTAGGGCTGCTGCTCTGATTATTTCTAGAGGATCCTAGTATCATAGTGGGAGGAAGCGCAGAGTGGGCAGCCGGAATAATTATGGAACTCCAGCCAATCTCTTTGTGTTCCCAGCAGGTGGTGAGAGAGCCCATAAATAATCTGAGGCCTGTGCGGTGTTCCTAGGTCCAGTCCTGCTGGGGGAAGCCTCTGTGGAAGGGCTCTGCCCCTGGGATTGATTTCTAGAAGGAGCCCTCAGGGGTCCCAGTGGAGACGCTCACCAGAGAGAGCCAGGAGGAGGTTGGTAGGAAAACGTCCAGCTGTCCTATGGTGATGCGAGTCTCCATTCTCCCTCATTAGGAAGCTGCTGCTCCATCTGCCAAAATATTTGTATTTCCGTCCATCCAGCCAGGTTGGTGGTGACCTGACTTTTCACTGTTGCAATTAAAGTGTTACTAAACCCCCAACAGTACAATCAGTCTGTAGATGCAGTAAAGCATGCTTGTTATACTCACTGTGGAACCTAAGGGGTTAATCCCTCTGCATTGTGTAAAAATGCTGTTTGATCCTGACTTCTTTGATCCTCCCCTTCTTCTGATGTCACCCTCTTATCTCCTGATAAGACATATAGTGTGGAGTCACTCTGCACATGCTCAATTTGGTGTGGTTTGCTAGATATTTTTTTTTTTTCTTGCGAGAGTGCATGTGTTTAGCACAGGGCCAATCAGCATTGTCCAGACAGAGGTGAGGGCTTCTGCATCCTCCTAGAGCAGAAATAAAACTCCTCCTACAAGATTAACCAGTGCTCAGCTGGACACTGATAGAGGTCACAAGGCTGCTATATACTGCTGATGAGAAAATAGTTGCATTTCCATGTTGTGTGTACTGTGGGGGAGCAGATATAGTGAATGCAGGGTCCGGGGAGACCAGATATAGTGAATGCAGGGTCCGAGGAGACCAGATATAGTGAATGCAGGGTCCGGGGAGACCAGATGTAGTGAATGCAGGGTCCGGGGAGACCAGATGTAGTGAATGCAGGGTCCGGGGAGACCGGATATAGTGAATGCAGGGTCCAGGGAGACCAGATATAGTGAATGCAGGGTTCGGGGAGACCGGATATAGTGAATGCAGGGTCCGGGGAGACCATATATAATGAATGCAGGGTCCGGGGAGACCGGATATAGTGAATGCAGGGTCCAGGGAGACCAGATACAGTGAATGCAGGGTCCAAGGAGACCAGATATAGTGAATGCAGGGTCCGGGGAGACCAGATATAGTGAATGCAGGGTCTGGGGAGATCAGATATAGTGAATGCAGGGTCCGGGAAGAGCGGATATAGTGGATGCAGGGTCCAGGAAGAGCGGATATAGTGAATGCAGGGTCTGGGGAGATCAGATACAGTGAATGCAGGGTCCTGGGAGACCGGATATAGTGAATGCAGGGTCCAGGGAGACCGGATATAGTGAATGCAGGGTCCGGGGAGACCGGATATAGTGAATGCAGGGTCCGGGGAGACCAGATATAGTGAATGCAGGGTCCGGGGAGAGCGGATATAGTGAATGCAGGGTCCGGTGAGACCGGATATAGTGAAAGCAGGGTCCTGGGAGACCAGATATAGTGAATGCAGGGTCCGGTGAGACCGGATATAGTGAATGCAGGGTCCGGGGAGACCAGATATAGTGAATGCAGGTTCCTGGGAGACCAGATATAGTGAATGCAGGTTCCTGGGAGACCAGATATAGTGAATGCAGGTTCCTGGGAGACCAGATATAGTGAATGCAGGGTCCGGGGAGACCGGATATAGTGAATGCAGGGTCCGGGGAGACCGGATATAGTGAATGCAGGGTCCGGGGAGAGAGCGGATATAGTGAATGCAGGGTCCGGTGAGACCGGATATAGTGAATGCAGGGTCCTGGGAGACCAGATATAGTGAATGCAGGGTCCGGTGAGACTGGATATAGTGAATGCAGGGTCCGGGGAGACCAGATATAGTGAATGCAGGGTCCGGTGAGACTGGATATAGTGAATGCAGGGTCCGGGGAGACCAGATATAGTGAATGCAGGTTCCTGGGAGACCAGATATAGTGAATGCAGGGTCCGGGGAGAGCAGATATAGTGAATGCAGGTTCCTGGGAGACCAGATATAGTGAATGCAGGGTCCGGGGAGACCAGATATAGTGAATGCAGGGTCCGGGGAGACCGGATATAGTGAATGCAGGGTCCGGGGAGACCAGATATAGTGAATGCAGGGTCCGGGGATACCGGATATAGTGAATGCAGGGTCTGGGGAGACCTGATATAGTGAATGCAGGGTCCGGGGAGACCGGATATAGTGAATGCAGGGTCCGGAGAGACCAGATATAGTGAATGCAGGGTCCGGGGAGACCGGATATAGTGAATGCAGGGTCCGGGGAGACCGGATATAGTGAATGCAGGGTCCGGGGAGACCGGATATAGTGAATGCAGGGTCCGGGGAGACCAGATATAGTGAATGCAGGGTCCGGGGAGACCTGATATAGTGAATGCAGGGTCCTGGGAGACCGGATATAGTCTCCCGGAGGCTGATGTGGTCTCTGAAAATGATGTAACTTCACCGCATAAGTCCAATGATTCACTGAATGATTACCGATTCTCCCGGCAATGACTTCTATGGAAGAATTAAATCAGAATATTTTATTAGCCCCGAGAAAGTTGTTTTTTTTTTAACACTGAATCAGCTCCCAGTAACAGCGATGAGCTCATGGAAGAGCGATCCCTCAAAGTTTCTTCAAAGCTGATGTGGAAATCAGCAATGGGAACTGTGCAAAGGGACCTAATGATGTCATTCAAGGAGAAATGTTTTAGATGTTTTGATAAATGGGAGTCGGTTTCATCATAGATTCTGCGGGGAAATAAATTGGGTGTAACCGCCCTCTTCCATCATCTGTAAAAAGAAAAAACAACCTAATGCCCCGTACACACGATAAAAAAAAAAAAATCATACAAACAATTCCGCGGAGCCGCTGATCGAACGATTTTCTCTTCGTTGATGAGCAGGATATTTTAACCGATAACGATATTGTGAACGAAAAAATCCGGTTGAATAACAGTGACAAATTTTGTGGTTTCGCATACGAACGACCGATTTTCTATGCGGTGCTATGACGGTACGAAAAAGAATCTATCAAGCGCTATCACGCATGAGCGGAAACAGAAGATGACCCGGATGTTGATGTCCAAGGAATCTTTGTAAACACGAACGAAAAATCCAAAATGTTAAAAGTCGATCGGCCTAATGAGATGATGAAACCAGAATTGTGCAGATTATATTTTATGTCTCACTATTTATGTATATAGGTCATGTAATAAACAATATTATACTCATTGCTGGTAATCGTTGTGTATATCGATCGTTCTGGCCGGAAGGGCGTGGCTACAAGGTCACACGCACATTGCATCACTTCCACTTGTACAGAAGACCTCAACACTACGTATTGCCCGACGGATGATTTTTTTAGATTGGTCAATGTGGGCCACGATTTCGACCAACGAACGAACGCCTCTCGGTTGTCAGATGACCGATCGGTCGATTTTCTAATCGTGTATTCCCACCTTAAGGCTCACCTCACACGTTGCCATCGGACCATACTATCTCTGTAAATCAATGTTAGATCTTCCATCTATGTAATATGGGGACAAATCTGAACTATCCAATCAATCTGTATCCAATCAGGCAGGACCTTGCTTCACATAGTTATTGGTGATTGTACAATCAGATTGGGACGTATGTGGTGAACACCTCTCGGTTGTCGGACGACCGATCGGTTGATTTTCTAATCGTGTATTCCCACCGTAAGGCTCCATGCACACTGGCATTTTTTTAAGGCACTAGAAGCTGTTATCAGCATTTTTTCTGCTCCTAGAAGCTAACTAGTGTTGTATGTGTCATGCTCACTACTTTAGGCTATTAGTGTTTTTTGAGCTTCAGCTTCTAGGAGCAGAAAATAAACTTTTTTGGAGTGTTTTTCCATGAGAAAAGTGTTATTAAACCCACAACAGTGAAATCAGTCTGTATATGCAGTAAAGCATGCTTGTTATACTCACTGTGGAACCTAAGGGGTTAATCCTCCGCATTGTGTAAAAAGGCTGTTTGATCCTGTCTTCTCTGATCCTCCCCTTCTTCTATTGTCCCCAGTCCATCTGCTAACAGTACAGAGCCCTAGGGGACACTTTGAACATGCTCAGTTTGGTGTGTATTGCTCACATGTACTGCAAGAGAGGGTGCATGTGATCAGCACAGAGCCAATGAGCACTGTCCAGACAGAGGTCAGGGGTTATGCAGCCTCATAGGACAGTCAGAGCAGAATGAAAACTCCTCCAACAAGATTAACCAGTGCTCAGCTGGACACTGATAGAAGTCACAAGGGGGGGGGGTATGGGTATTGATGCTTAAATATTTTCTACCTTAATGCAAGGAAAGCAAAATGGTTATGCTTTGTAGATACTTTAAAGAAGATAGCTGGCAAAGAAGATATTCTTCTGCGCAGATCCCAGGCAGTGACAAGGACACTGTATTTTTTTGGCAGGATCAACAGATGTTTTCTGTACTTGTTGAAAATGTTTTTTGCAAAGAAAGAAAACTAAAGCAGCCACCACATCTAGGGACTGTAAGCTGCTATACATTACATATTTGGCATATTTGTTCTTGGGTTTAGTTATCCTTTAGTTTAGGGCCCCACATCCCTGCACAGTAAAATGTAGTGTTTTCCTATGCAGGTTAGTGTCGACTCTGCCAGGGAACCATGAGATGCGTGTTCCAGTGCATTGTACAACTTCCTTTTGTTTTTTCAACTTTATTTGAAGTGTCCCCTAGTGACACTTCAGTCATGTCTCTGCATGGTGACATTGGTGTCATCCTGTGCAGGGCAGATAATGCAGACATGAAGCATCTTTCCGCACTGCGTAGCACAGCACATTACACCAGTGCTGTAGTGTGAATGGGACACATAGAAAACAATTGCCTTGATAGTGACCTGCATTTATACAGTGTGGATAAACTCAAGTCACCTACACCCAGTGTGAGCAAACCCTTAAAGAGTAACTCCACTTTTATTGAAACCCCCCCCCCCCCGGGTGATCTGTGTACACTGCAGGGATTTTAACAAACTGTTGCAAATTCCTACCTTTTGTTATTCTGAAGAAATAGCTGTGTGTCTGTCTGTGTCCGTGTGCAGAGTGAATGTGAATGGGAGCGACTTTATAATTATTAATCAGTTGCTGCACCATGACGAAAGTGGCAGGGTTTGCATCCCTTTAGATGTGATTTTTTTTTTTTTTTAGGAGTATCTCACCAAAAATGACATTATTGTTGCTGGAGATGCTCAAAATCTGACTTGTATCTTAGTACAGACTTCTGGGAAAATTAGTAAACCAATCACACCAGCAGGAAATTACGTTTCGGGGGGGGGGGGGGGGGGTGTTCTGTACACCATCTGTGTACAGAACACCACCCCCAGCTGCCATATTGCATTTCACAGAAAGTGACAGGGCTGCCGATTGAAAGGGAAAGGTCATTTTTAATACCATTCAATTACAATCTGACTTTTACATATGCTATGTATATATATATTTTTTTTATTTAATATATATATATATATATATATATATATTAAAAAATATATATATATAAATTATTGAAAGGGAAAGGTCATTTTTAATACCATTCAATTACAATATGACTTTTACATATGCTATATAAATATATATATTATTTTTTTTTAATATATATAAAAATATATATATTTAAAAAAAAATTATATATATATATATATATCTCAGAAAACAAAACCCCCTTATTACCTTATTTATTTAAAAAGAAATATATATATATATAATATATATATATAAATTAGATATATATGTTTGTATATATATATATATATATATATATATATATATATATCAGAAAACAATGCTCCCTTATTATTTATTTCAGTATGTTTGGGTTCTTTTTTTTTTTTGCTTTTTTTTTCTCACATGAAAGTGAAGTTGCCCTTTAAGGCCATTGCAAAATTTTAAATTTTTACCTAATCCTTCCATGCAGAGTTGTTGTGCCACCTAGAGACTGCAGTTTTCACGTAATTCTATCCTAAAGGGGAAAAGTTATACAATAATTAAAATGGATATTTATCACTTTATACACTTCAAATATTTTGTCTATTTAGAAAACCTCTTTCACAACCATGTGAGCTGTGTCTGTGCAGCCGCTGCGTCCCAATGGACATGAATGGGACTGCCGGCACCGGGATGCAGCATGGGAGAACATGGCCCTCACACTGGTGTATGCTGTAGTGTGAATGGGGCCTAAGGTGGCCATAGACAGGCAGATATCTCCTGTAAATATTTGTATTTTCGCGTGTAGCATGAGTGCTGGGACCAGATCCAACCCTTACCCAACCTACTTTGATCTTTTTTAACCTGCTCATACAGTTATGGATTTGGCCTGCTTGCAAGATTTTTCTGCAACCTAAAAAACAATCCTGTGTGACAACGCATTTCTCCTATTACCGGACCTTAATGCCCTGAGCCATCTTCGGCTAAAACTCCGTCTCCAGACCCTTCCAGATGAACTTGCCCGAGGAGTTGCCATCTTCTTCTATCACTTCTAAACTAGAAGAGACAATTTAGGCCCTTATTGAGGTTGTGCTCATCAGTCTGAAGCTTGAGGATCAGCCCGTTGTTCCTACTAATGCTGTCCTTATTGTGGGGTCCTTAGAGCTCCTCAGACCACTGAGACCTATTCTGTGCACCAGCTGTTTCAGGTATTCTTATATGGAGATTGGAAACACCAGGATGTTCCTTACCCCAATGGCTTA